AATCTAAGTCGGTTTCGTTACATTATCTTCGTCTAAAGTGTCGTGGATGGTACACCCATTGGTCCAAAATCTGAGTGCTCCACGGCACCGTGTCGTATCCCAATCTTTGTGTCTGTTCAAACCTTTGGACTAAATACTTTGTACTAAATAAATGGGCAGGGGTAGAAGGCTGTTCCTTTCTTGGAGATGACATGAGAAGTGGATTTGTTTTTGAAGATACCTTCTTCTAACCCTTGACTAACGATGCAGGATCTCAAAGGCAGCAGACTGGTCTGAATACACAGTTTCCTTCTCTTACACTGGTTGCCACCCTAGATTGTAGGACACAGTTTGTTCTGTTATTGTTTTACCCATATCTGGAGTGGGGAGATGAATTCATACTTTTCCCAAGAAAGTGAATGTAATGAACACAACTGGAATTTGAACTCGTCTCTCCGATTCCTCAATCCGAGCCGCTAACCATTTCTGCACCGTTACATTCATTTACGCGCAAGTACCAGTGTGAAAGTTATGTATTAGTATCTTCCCCAGCTATGGGTTAAATAATAGGACTTTCATCTAGAAAAATCAGTGTTATCGTCAAAACATTGCTGATGCAACATTCACTTTTATTGGAAAATATGCAACTTTTACGAGAAAGAAACTGGTCTGAATACCACCCAGACCCGGTTACAGAGATAAGACCCGAAAAGATTTTATGGGATTTTACAACGCACAGAGATAAAACAATCAAAGCTAATCTCCCAGACATCGTGATCAAAGATCACAAGAACAGAATGTGCTTTCTTATTGACATGGCAATCCCTGCAGATAGCAATGTGTCTTTGAAATAAATACATAAAAATAAATTAATGTCCCTTTTTATTGAACTGGTTAACATCATTGATGTGTAGGGAGTGTTTGATGAACATTCGCAAGAACGTTGATATTGGTTGGAAATTGGTCAGTCAGTCGACTGGCTGATCGGTTGAACTCTCTGCCTTCGGGCGGGGAGGAACCCGAAGGAGGCTACGCCGAAGGGCGGATTTCTCTTTCGGGGAGGTAAACTGACCCTGAACCCGTTTATACAGGTTCAATGGGCATATTTTTGGCCGAGCCCACGGGCTCGGAGATCCCACGTTAAAATGGCCTTGTGCAACATGACGCCCTCGTGGGGGGGGGTGACTGAATATCGTTGGAAATTGGTAATTTTAGCCATTAGTCACCATGCCCTTCCAGGTTCAGTCTATTCGTTTGCTTCCTTAGAATTGCATTCTCGTGGATAAAACAAACTTCAACCTATAGATGCGTAAAAGTGATTTCAATGCTGCAACACACACATATATCTCTATCTATAAAAATATATATATATATGTGTGTGTGTGTGTGTGTGTGTGTGTGTGTGTGTGTGTAACGAATGCACGGCCGCAATTTTCGACAGATTTGCACCAAAATTTACATGCACATGCTCCAAGTTAGCGGGAAGGCCAAGACCGACTTTGCATTTCCCAACTCCTATCGATAGTGGAAATAATCGATTTTTTTCATGCTTATACGGCAGTTTTCATGTAGTTTGCGGCCATTTTGTACTGGCCAGAGTGAGAGCCTATAGATGGTTGCCACGAATAGGCAGGAAGATTCTATTGGCCAGCGTGAGAGCCAACAGCTGACTGACACGAATGTTAACCAGCATGCTAGCATGCAAAAAAATCGATAGCTGCATTCGTCACAAGTGGGAAAAATTTAAATCTGCATGGCACTTTACTCCAATTGGCTCATTCGCTTGCTTAAACTCAACGTTGATTCTGATTCCGCAGAACTGGGTTGGGTGTGAAAAAGTATTTGTTGTTAACATTCTTTTTTCATTCGGTTTTTCCAGTTACGAGTCCTTTTTTTTTTAAAGCTGATCGTTTTGTGTTCATTTTGTTTAGTTCTTTTTTCGTAACAGATTTAATGTTTAGTATAGAGCTTAGAAAAAAAATTCGCAGTGTGAGATAGGCAAGAAGTAAGGCATGTAGCAACATCAGCACGGCAAAGGGCACTCCTTTAAAGGCAAGGAAGGGCAAAAATATTTTAAGTCAAGTGATAGCGATTGCTGTATGAGTCGTACGATTTTTGAATCAAGCACGGGCAACGCCGGGCCATGCTGCTAGTTTAGTAATAGAATTTACACTAGTCTAACTTTTTAAGATCGATGTTTAAAATGGTTTTGAGTAAGTGAAACCTGTGGAATTTTGACCATTCTGGTCTGATGATACAGAATGACAAACAAAGAACTGTACCAAATAAAGGAAACCATATCGCTATAGGACTACCAAGAGTAGCAACAACTAAAACGGATAGCACTCGAAGGGAAAATAATGACATAATCAAGAGATTGATGTTCCACACTGCTTCGAACAAAATGCTAGGAAGGAAATTCCCCACAATAATGGGGGGCAGTTCTTGGAGACGACACGAGAGATGGATGAATCTACTATAACATGAGACGTGGTGAAGCTAGAATAATTTAATCTCTACCGTTCCAACTTTGAGCTTTCTCTGTTTATGACGATTAGTGACATTCTCAATTAGCCGTAGCTGTAAAAGATAATGGCTCGCGTATTAGAAACAGGAGAGCCGAGTTCGAATCTAAGTCGGTTTCGTTACATTTGTCGTCGTCTAAAGTGTCGTGGGTGATACACCCATGGACGAGTAGTCCAAAATCAGAGGACCATGGCACCGTGCTGTTTCCCAGCCCCTTTGTTGGAACCTTTGGACTAAATACTATGTACTACATACATGTACTAAATACATTGTACTAAATAAGTGTACATTGTCTCGGCTCAAAGTGGACACGAGGTGGAAGGCAGTTCCTTTATAGAGACGACATGAGGTGGATTTGTTTTTGAAGCAATCTTCTTTTAGCACTTGACTAACGATGCGGGATTTAAAAGGCAGCAGACTAGATTTTCTTTCTCTCAGACTGGTTGCCACTCTAGATTACAGTCTGTTTTGCTGGGGGATAACAGATGAATTAATACCTTTCCCAAGTAAGTGAATGTAATCAGCTCGACTAGATTTCGAACTCGGATCTCCGATTTCTCAATCCGAGCCTCTAACCGTTACTTTAACGTTACATTCTTTTACATATAAATACCACTGCGAAAAATAAGAATTACTAGCTTCCCCATCTATGGGTTAAATAGTCGAATTTTATCTAGAAAATAATTGTTACCCTCAAAAACTTGCTGAGGCAATATTTACTTGTAAAATAAAAAACTATTCGCGATAGGTTGATAAGCCGTAAAAAAAGAAATCGTTTAATTAATCAATCTCAAACAGGCTCTATACCTTGGATGTGTTTTGAATCTGAAAGTCAATGCAGACCTGATGTGAAACTCATATATAAAATTTCTGGAAAAATGGTAGGCTAATTCTATCGTTACAAAAGATATCTTTAGATCAAAAAGTGGTGTATTGCTGCCATATCTGGTGTTGGAGCTATTCAAACTTACTTTCCGCTTACACATTCTTGCAGCCTCTTTCCCACGTGCCTATCGCTACCTTATTGCAATTTTAATGGCAGGTGTTCAGTTGAACATTTCATTTCGTAGTTCCACCAGTTCAGACCTTAACAACTACGACACGTCATGCTACCTTCACAGAATCGAATTTCTCTTATTTAGTCCTAGTTTCAAATGTAAGAAGGAAGTTTATCTCTGAAAACTGGCCTCCACCCCCAAAACTGTACAACAGACACTCGCGTGAATATCACCCTGAACACTAAAATCTTAACCCCTTCAAGTCATGGGTCAGTCGTTATTTATCCACCTTATCCTCAAAATCTTCACGTCCTACCATCTTCTCTTCTGTTCATATCACATACCTCATACACCATAACCATTTTGACAGTAACCCTCTACACTACAATCTTAACCTCTTTAGGTCAGCTGTCAGTCGTTATTGATGCCTATTGAGTTCGAACAAAATTAGTTTCTATAGGAATGCGTTGTGAATGAGGAAAAAAAGGGATAACATGCAGGTGGAATGAATCAGTGATAGTCATTGGAATGAATGCAAATGAGGAAGAAAAGCATTCGAATGAATAGAATAGGGCTATTATATGTATAATGAAAATACATTGCTAATGATTTTACTATAGGAATGCATTGCAAATGTAAAGAAAGGGATTGTCAGTGGTCAGGAATGAATGCAAGCATTACTGATAGAATAGGGCTATTATATGTATAATGTAAAATACATTGCTAATGATTTTACTATAGGAATGCATTGCAAATGAGGAAGAAAGGGATTGTCAGTGGTCAGGAATGAATGCAAATGTTGTAGAATAATTATATGTATAGAATAGGGCTATTGATATTACTATAGGAATGCATGCAAATGAAGAAGAAATTATTGGTCAGGAATGATTTAGAATACTATAGGAATAATGTAAATGCATTGCTAATGATTTCCCTTTGTTGAATTGCAAAAAAGAAGAAAAAGGGATTGTCAGTGGTCAGGAATGAATGCAAGCATTACTGATAGAATAGGGCTATTATATGTATAATGGAAAAATACATTGCTAATGATTTTTACTATAGGAATGCATTGCAAATGAAGAAGAAAGGGATTGTCAGTGGTCAGGAATGAATGCAAGCATTACTGATAGAATAGGGCTATTATATGTATAATGAAAATGCATTGTTAATGATTTTACTATAGGAATGCATTGCAAATGAGGAAGAAAGGGATTGGATTGTCAGGAATGGACACTGATAGAAAAGGGCTATTATATGCATAAAAAATGCATTGCTAATGATATTAGGAATGCATCCCAATGAAGAAGAAATTGTTAAAAGTGGACAGAAAGATACAAATGAAAATCTTTAGAAACTGGGGTGAGGATGAAGTAAGTTCATACTTTTCCCAAGGGTATTTGCGCCTAAATGAATATAACGAACCCGATTGGAAGTTGAATTCGGCTCGACGATTAACAATACGTGCCATCATCCATTGTACCCATCTGCACATCGAAGCTTACAGCACCTGGTATTCCCAAGCGGTCACCCATCTAAGTACTGACTAGGGTCGACTTTGCTTTACTTCGGTGATCGTACAGGAACCATTGTTTCAATGTTTATTGTATGTATTATAGTATGACCAGTCGATGAAAAAGTGACCGAGGACTGTGGTCGTATCTTCATAACTATACTACAGAACTAGTCTGCAAGTCGAGCTCGTTAACCATAGCGCTTCGCGGAGGAAAAGAAGGAGACTGGTGTTCCAACACTGCAGAAGACATTGGCAGACAAACGGTTGTCTAAAGACAGCTGAAATGCTGATGACGTATTTTTGAGCCGATGGAATTAAAACCAGACGAGAAATATGATGGTTGGCATTAGAATAGATTTCTCAAGAAACAAAAACGTTTTTTTTTTTTTAAATTTTTTTTTTCATCCGCGCATGTTCAGGTAAAGGCATATAGAAATTCTTTTTAAACGGATTATCTTTAATCCGTCGCTGACTTCATGAATTGCATTTCCCGTTAGTCGGATTAAATTTTATTAATTCTTTTCAATAGAAATCGAACCAAAACAATTTATTCATGCCGTTAATTCCGAGTTTTCGCTTTTGATTCCCATTTTGCTTAAACATCTTAAAATGCAAATAAGATTATCGATGTTTCAGGGATAATTCCACCTACGAAAATAATGGGACACTTAATATCTTTTTTTAAACGTTTCACCCCAAGCAAGGCAATAAAGTCACTAAGACGCAATGAGGGTTACTGAGTTTGAGAGAATAAAAGAAAAAAATATTAAGGAGAGAGGACATTAAATGAACAAGAATTAAGAAGACAGAAGATAATGATTGACATTGCATTTAAATTTTTGAAGATAAAAGGCAATAAAGCCACTAAGATGCAAGGGGTTACTGATTGTTAGAGAATATGTGAAAAACTACTATTAAAGAGAGAAGACATTAAATGAACAAGAATTAAGAAGATAGAAGATAATGATTGACATTGCATTTAAATTTTTGAAGATCAAAGGCAATAAAGCCACTAAGATGCAAGGGGTTACTGATTGTTAGAGAATATGTGAAAAACTACTATTAAAGAGAGAAGACATTAAATGAACAAGAATTAAGAAGACAGAAGATAATGATTGGCATTGCATTTAAATTTTTGAAGGCAATAAAGCCGCAAGGATGCAAGGGGTTACTGAGTGTTAGACAATACGAGAAAAATTACTACTACTAATAGGAGAGAGGACAATAAAAGAACAGGTATTAAGAAGACACAAGATAACAACTGACGTTGCATTTAAATTTTTGAAGATCAAAGTTGACTGGGAAGGAAGAAACCGGAAGAGAGTTCCACAAACGAGAATTTTGACAGAAAAAAAACTGTTAGCTTACAATTTACGGTTACATCTAGTCATTGCAACTTTAAAATGATGATACCTACCCGCCAATTTAGTACTGCGTTTAAATTCATAAATTCTAGGTACCTTAGTGGAAAGTTCATCAGAACAATTACCAGGAAAGTATTTATAGAAAAGGCAGAGGGAAGCTACAATACGGTGAAGACCAATAAAATTGCAGATTGTATCTTTTCAAGAATCTTTAAATCCATAGCAGAAGCATCAAACCAGACGTGACAGCAATATTAAAAGCACGGACGAATGGTAGACTTATAAGTATGTAAGATTATGTCGGGAAAAAAATTGTCCAACACGACGCAGTGAACCAATTGCTAGGTTTATTCCTAGCAGCAGACCAAGCAATTGATTCAATATACCTGAGATAAATTATTGTAATTATTTACATTGTTTGGACTATTGTCCTAATTTTATTGTCATGTTCACGGCATTCTGGCCGTTGTATGCTCCGGCCTTCTTCAGGTGACTGGAATTTCGAACTGCACCCTTTATTACGCCCACCGGGGTAGATTGTTCTAGTTCCACGTTCCACGCCTCTTCCGGATGTCTCGGTTATCTCCCTTTAACTAAACTCTCCAAGTTTTTGTTTACCACTGCCGGAACCAGGTATTGAACTCACAACTCTTTGGGTCAAGTCACTGGATCCAACCAACGCTTTTATCTACTGGGCCCTGTGTCCTTGAGCGTATGAATTTTGGGAACTTATAAACACGGTGTACTTGAACTACCCCACTGTACAAAATAAGGGTTAAATTGGAAATTACAATCATCTGAAGAAGGCCGAGGTGTACAACGGATGAAACGTCGTGACCATGACAATAAAGATGAGGGCAACAGTCCGAACATTGTAAATAATGCAAATGATTCAATATAATCTTTCCACTTCATGTTAGCGGAAACTGTTAGACTGAGATGGCACAAGGAGTCGTTCTACTGGAGGTTAGCATCAGCCATTACGATGGAAAGGAAAAAGTTGTCTCAGGTTATTAAAAGTAAGCAGTTTTTTTTTGGAAGCGTGAAAATGAACAAGCCATTACTTAATTACATTAATAACAGCTTGTAGGTCATTTGTTAGGTCACCTGCCAATTTGAACATATTAAATTACTCAGGCTTAGCCTTACAACGGGAATAATACATGTATAGTAAACATATATATATATCAAATAGAGAATTGGATACATTGGGATGATTGTACATCAATTTTGGCTTGTGTTATAACGCCTCTTCTTTTTTTTTCAGACAATACCGTGTTAGTATCAAGCTACTCTCATCGATGAACGATGGTTGAGTTATCTTTTACAATGAAAGTTCGCAGAAGTAAGGAAATTGGTGAATTTCAATGAGGGCGAATAATAGGATGACATCAGTGTGGCAAGTCAAATAGAGAAATTGTTAGGTTTTTCCAGGTTAATCATCAAACGGTTAATAATATTGTCAAGACATTTAATAAAGAAGGCCATTGTCGTGTAGAACAACGTTCAGGAAAACCAAACATCGTGTCTGAACGAACAAAAAGGCCACTGAATAGGGAAGTCATCAGAAACCGTCGTCAGAGCGTCAAAGATGCCGCCAACAGCATGGAAATGTCGTCATATGCGGCGAGGAAGACTCTGAAAGAGCTAGGCTATCAAAGAAGAGTTGCAATAAACAAGCCCTTGATTTCAGAGGTTAACAGAAACCTTCGTATGGACTGGGCGAGAGAATTCGAGAGCAAAGCCTATGAAATTTGGCAGTCTGTAATTTGGTCAGATGAAAGTAAATTCTGCCAATATTCGAATTCGAGAAAGGTTTATGTTTGGAGAAATCAGAATGAGACTTATGATATTTTTAATGTCTTTGGCGACCGTGAAACATGGGTGGATTAGAGTAATGGTGTGGATAAATTGTCTGGTTTGGTGGGAAATCTGAGCTTTGATTCTTGTTAACGAGCGGTTTAATGGAAAAATTACTGTCAAATATTAGGAAAGGACTATTCCCACTATTTGAAACCAATCAGATTGAAAAGAATGTCTCACTTTTTTCAAGAAGATGGAGCGCCATGTCATTTACGATAAAAGTAGCAAAGGCCTGGAAGGAATGCAAAGAAATCAAGTCAATGTCGTGGGTAGCCCAAAATCCTGACATAAATCCAATAGAGCACATTTGGGAGTACCTTGACCGAAGACGTCGAGAATGTGCACCCAAAATCCCGTCAGTAGCAACCCTTAACGAAACATTGCTAAAGGAGTGGCTAAATATGGCTCAGACGATTGTTGATAACTTGATCAAATCCATGAAAAATTGAATACATTTAACGGAAAAATAGGAAATGGAGGACAAACTCCATACTAGTTCCAAATAATGTTTATTTATGTTGAGTGGGGATTACGTAATTAAATTTTGAAATTGGATGGAGTCTCTTTCTACTGGCCATTGTAGTTAATTTTTTAGATAATTATCTTAATTTATTAAAATAAAAATATTCTTCATAAATATCGACCAATCTCGATATTTTATTAAGATTTTTTAAAAATAAAATCGTATACACCTATGCCGTTGCTGTCATACTTGAACCTGCGACATGAATTGACAAACATAGATCATTTTTGTCCCTTCAAAACGTGATCAATCATGGCTCTCCACAATTTCTTTTCCTGTGTATATCTTATCAATGTTTACTCCTTAACTATCCTTCCCACCCCCTGTTCTGCTATCCATTTATAAAAGCTCGTTAGGCAGGTTACACTCTTGCCTTCAATATGTCCTGTGTGCCTCAAATTTTCCAATCCTTCTTTCCTCATTATGTGTATTAGAATTTATGGGTTAAAATGATCAATATCAGGGATAGGAACGTATGTCAATATAAAAGTGGACATTGAAGTCAACAAACGGTCTGTTTCATGTTTAAACGCCATGTGTGTTATGTTTTGGCAGGACTCTTTATATATGTTGGTCAAAAGGGCATTGTGGGTAGATTGTCTATTGTATTATCCTGAAGTTTATTGGATGGGTGGTAACAGTTATGTTTCAAATTCTTATAGAGGCTATTTAATATAAATAATTGTGAATCCGATATTTTGGAGTGTTGTTTCATAATTTTTTAATCATTATTATTACATTTACTTGTGTTTATATCTACATCCGTCTTTTGCTAATTTGTTTACTATTTACTTTATTTTTTTTACTTCTTTTTTGTTTTAGATTTTTTATTTATTTTATTTTATTCATTTTATCATGTTTTTGCATATGTTTTTAGTTTTTGTTATACCGTACCTATGAACATTAATAAATATGTCCCAGTCCTCATAAATACGCTGGACACTTTGTAAGTGGAGGTAATATGCTGTCTAAGTAGTCCACTACTAGCAGTGGTTTACATACTTCACGCCGCTGGCGAGTATTGTATTTTGCTGATGTTATAAAGATTACCATTTCAATTCCAGCCTCAGTTTTAGTTATTCCTCATTCAGTAACCCTTTCTAAGTTATAATAGATAGATAGATAGATAGATAGATAGATAGATAGATAGGAAGGAAGGGAGGAAGGAAGGAAGGAACAAATGGAGATAGATAGATAGATAGATAGATAGATAGATAGGAAGGAAGGAAAGAAAGAAGGAAGGAACAAACGGAGATAGATAGGAAGAAAGGAAGGAAGGAAGGAAAGAAAGAAAGAAGGAAGGAACAAACGGAGGTAGATAGATAGATAGATAGGAAGAAAGGAAGGAAGGAAGGAAAGAAAGAAGGAAGGAACAAACGGAGATAGATAGATAGATAGATAGATAGAAAGGGACAAACGGGGATAGAGAGATAGATATAAAAATATAGTTTTATAGTATGCTATATTTATGGAAAAGGCACGGTGGTAGTAACGGAAAAGGGAGACTGGATTGAGGAATCGGAGATTGAGTTCGAATTCCAGTCAAATCCATTACAAAACTTACATGCTAATAGCCTTGGGAAAGGTATGAATCCTCTTCTCCCTCAAGCTATGGGCAAATAGAAGGACAGATTGGCTTCTATAGCCTTGGATAGCAAATAGTTTACCGCAGAAAGAAATGGCAACCTACTGCGGGAAAAATCTGACTCGTCAGTCATGTATCGAAAGATACATGATCGCCTAAGCGTGTATCACGCATGGCACATAACTGATATTTATGGGTTAAAGTGCTCAATATCAGGGATAGGAACGTAGGCCAATATAAAAGTCGACATTGAAGTCAACAAACGGTCTGTTTCATTTTTAAACGGCGTGTGTGTTATGCTTTGCCTCGACTATTTATATATACTGTACTACTACTGTACTGATGCGGCATTCACCCTGGGCGGATTGAGCCGGCTTCTTCCTGTTATGAGAAGAAGATTCTTGGGATAAATTACAGAAGTAGGGTACCCAGGCCTACTCGGATAACGTTCTTGCTTGCCGCGGGGGTTCCCACAGACGCAGAGACAGGAACGACCAGAAGCCGCCGGTTACCGATGCAGACGCTCCTTCGATTTTCACCAGAGCCCTTGTTAGCCGGCATGTGTGTCAGACCTGTCCGCCTTTGGTGGCCCTACCAGGAACGAAGTTCCGGGCGGCATAGCTCTGACACTACCGTTTACCCCCCCGCCCACCGACTGTGAGGTAAGGGTTGGACTTTGGGGCTTACAGTACCAGGTGTTCCCAAGCGGTCCCCCATCTAAGTACTGACCTGGCTCTACGATGCTTAACTTCGGTGATCGTACGAGAACCGGTGTTTCAGCGTGATTTGACCGTAAGCTACTATTTTTACGTGATTTGACCGTAAGCTTACGGTCAAATCACTATTTATATATGCTGGTCAATGGCGCATTATGTGTAGAAGATTTACTGTATTATCCTCACGGTTAGTGGGTCGGTGGTAACAGTTATGTTGCAAATTCTTATAGAGGCTATTGAGTATAAATAATTGTGAATACGATATTTTATAGTGTTGTTTCATAACTGATATGTCCCGGTAAGGGATATATTTGTTCGAAGTAGCAAAGTGGTTGTTGACTACTGTAACCCAGTAGGACAATCTAGCAGGGAACCGTAATGGACTGGTCCTCGTCGTAGTGGTAGGCAATAGGCGAAGATTATAGGCGTAGTCAATAGGCGTCTCAATAGGCGTTTCTAGTACTTCCACACCAGTCTGTATTTATGGCTGACACCAGACAATCATATTACAGTTAGGGGGAACCCAGGTGTATGCATATTCATTACATCAATACCATTTTAATCATTATTATTACATTTTTTTGTGTTTATCTCGTGCTGTTTCTAAACATAAGTGTTCTATTTTGTTTCCATTTAACCAAGCTTGTTAGGTAGATAACTCTCTCTTACCCTCTGTCCCTCTTGGCTTTAATATATCATGTGAGTGTTAAATTAGCTATACCGTCTTTCCTCATTGTGTCTTAGAAAGTGTCTCTTTCTGATTCTAAGTATAAGTATCTTATTTTATTTTCACTTACACCATCTTGTTAGGAAGATAACTCAATGTTTTCTTCTTTCAATATATCTTGTGAGTATCAAATTTTCCAATCCCCTTTTCCTCATTATTTGTCCTTGAAATTTCCATTGTCTCTTACTGATTCAGTAGCAGCTCGGAATGGTAACTCGGGGAGGGGTGTTCTAATCCCAGCCGAGTTCGTTACATTCATTTACGCGCAAGTATCATTGAGAAAGGTATGAATTTTTCTTCTCCCTCTAGCTATGGGTTAAATAGTAGAAATTGTATATGGAAAAAAATCATTGTTATTCTCAAAAAAAATGTTAATGTAATATTCATACGCCAAAAAAAAAAGAAGAATTTTTCTTACATCCCCAAAATATTTTTTGATATAAATAAATCTGATAACCCGTAAAAAAACAAATCGCGTTAAAGAAGTCACTATTTCTGATTCTAAGAGTAAATGTTGTTTTTTGTTTACGTATTCCATAAAACTTCTTAATTTCTCATATGTCCTGTCCTTGGGAATCTCAGCATCCTTCTGTTTGTTTTTTGTTTTGTTTTGCAGTAAGGTTCATCCTGTACAAGGCACAAGGGTTACTCGAGGTAGAGGATTACATTAAGGGGTCATTTATATGGATTGGAGGGGAAGATAATGATTAACTCTAGACTTGAAAGTAGTGTTCTAGGAAACACCCCCTTGGGAGTTTGCTCCACAGGGCAGAGGTTCGCAAGAAGAAGTTGTTTGAGTGGAATTTAATTCTCACCAATGCAATATGGAGGGAATGTGGGTGGTTTGTTACTATGTAGTCATCGCCGTGAAGGTTAGAGCTGGCGAGACATCGCCGTGAACGTTAGAGCTGGCGAGTCCTCGGCGTGAAGGTTAGAGCTGGCGAGTCCTCGGCGTGAAGGTTAGAGCTGGCGAGACATCGCCGTGAAGGTTAGAGCTGGCGAGTCCTCGGCATGAAGGTTAGAAATGAAGAGATGGCGTGAAGTCAAGCTGGCGAGACATCGCCGTGAAGGTTGAAGCTGGCGAGTCCTCGGCGGAAGGTGAAGGTTCCTCGGCGTGAACTGGACGAGTCCTCGGCGTGAAGGTTAGAGCTGGCGAGTCATCGCCGTGAAGGTTAGAGCTGGCGAGTCATCGGCGTGAAGGTTAGAGATGGCAAGTCCTAGGCGTGAAGGTTAGAGCTGGCGAGTCCTCGGCGTGAAGGTTGAGCTGGCGAGACAACCGCCGTGAAGGTTAGAGCTGGCGACTTTTTATCGCCGTTTCTTTAAACTGGCGAGACATGGCGTGAATTAAACTCGCGGCATGAAGGTTAATTTAAGTTAGAATTTGGCTGGCGATTCCTCGGCGTGAAGGTTAGAGCTGGCGAGTCATCGCCGTGAAGGTGAGAGCTGGCGAGTCCTCGTGAAGGTTGTTAGATGGTGTTTAGGCGTGAAAATTAGAGCTGGCGATTCCTCGGCGTGAAGGTTGAAGGTGGAAGAGCTGGCGAGTTATCGCCGTGAAGGTTAAGACTGGCGATTCCTCGGCGTGAAGGTTAGAGCTGGCGAGTCCTCGGCGTGAAAGGTTATAGGCGTGAGTTATCGCCGTGAAGATTTTCTTAAAATGTTAGAGCTGGCGAGTCATCGCCGTGAAGGTTAGAGCTGGCGGGTTCTCGGCGTGAAGGTTAGAGCTGGCGAGTCCTCGGCGTGAAGGTTAGAGCTGGCGATCGCCTCAGAGCTGGCGTGATCGGTTTAACAATAAAAGCTGGCGAGTCATCGCCGTGAAGGTTAGAGCTGGCAGGTTCTCGGTTAGTGAATCGCCGTGAAGGTTTTTCATTTTTTTCTCGGCTGGTGAGAGCTGGAAAGTCCTCGGCGTGAAGGTTTTCAGCACTGTTTTCTTTGTTTCAAATGACATTATCCTGTTTCTTAATTATTTTCTTAGCTTTTGGAAGGCATCTTTCACTATGCCATTGCCTCTTCGGATTTCGGTGTCTCATTTTCTATCCTCTGATAAATCACTTCCAAGGTTAGTCAGTTATGTGCCATGCGTGATATAAGCTTAAGTGATCATATATCTTTCGATACATGATTGGCGAGGCAGATTTTTTCTCGCAGTATTTCTTCCTGCGGTAGACTAGTTGCCATCCACAGCTATAGAACCCGGTCTGTTCTGCTATTTACCCACAGCTGTGGGGAGAAGAGGAGGATTCATACCTTTCCCAAGAGTATTAGCACGTAAGTGGATGCACTGGATTCGACTGGAATTCGAACTTGGCTCTCTGATTCCTCAGTACAAACCGCTATCCACCGTGCTTCTGAGGTAAATGTCTGTAAGTGCATGATTTGGACATCTACAATTTGTAGATTACATCCTGATCTGTTCCTCTTACTGGGAGCCACGTATCCTGTCTTTTAAGGAAATGTACCTCAGATTCTAAGAACTTCAGATAGAAGGGCTTAAATAACTCTATCGTGTACATATATTCCGACTCTGTTAATGCCATTCCTGACCAATAAATCCGAAAGTCTTTGAGCAAATATAAAGTAACAGGAACGTTTGAAAAATCCTTGATGATGAGCCTCTTGAACTGATGCAAGAAAATAAAATGAGGTAATGCGAGAGGGGGAAAAAAAGGTAGATTAACAAATTTTTCTCCCTTGTAGCATTTAATCAGCCACCCATCCCAAAAAATGGCTGACTCAAGTGAAAGCACAGAAAGAATTTTCACTTGAATGGTGCTCTTAAACGGAAACGTATTTCTCTCTTTTTTTTTTGTTGCCCGGAAGTATTTCTACTCCTTATTAACGCGTATGGAAAAGCCGCGAGTTGGTCATTAGGAAAATTTCGAAGCTCTGATCGATTTAGAAGCAATTCTCTCTGGAAGATGCATATTTTAACACCTTCGGCCTGTCATAAAAACAAATTTAGACGTCACCAAATGGGTTTTAGTAGCGAGTGAGGTAATTTACAAACTAATTGCTCGAATTCATTTATTTTAATAATTAGACAAGCTAATTTAAATGATGTTTGAGCATTTGCATGTCGATGCAAATCCAGAGTACATAGCTGCCATCACGGATGCGATAGTTCAAGAGATCATTTCTCTTATAGTGAGTTCGATCCTCACTAGAAGCACAGCACATGTAACTGTAGGCAAAAATTAGGAACCAGGTTATTGGAAAAATTGTGAATCGTTTCCCATTGATGAGAGTAGTCGGAGTTTTGAGCTCGGATAAATAATGAAATTTCTAATTAGTTGGAAGGAAAGCGAGAAGAAAGGTTTAAATATCAACTAACAGGAAGGCAGAATACATGGTTGTTAGGAAATGGATGATCCCGAAGTGGAAATCAGAGATACCAAAATCAAACAAATAAAAATTGACACGGAAATCTGAAAGCGCATTGGCATAGCCAAAGAAAGATGCCTTCTAAAAGCTAAGCAGAGTATTAAGAAAAAGAAAAACTTCGTTGGAAACAAGCAAAAAAGAGTACTGAGCTGTTACATAATATCAATCATCCTATATGACAATGACGGCTGGATAATCTCGTCAAAGATGAAGTGGAGACTTGAAGCAACAGAAATGTGGTTCTACAGGAGGATGCTGAGAAAACTGTGGATAGAACATCACAGAACGACGTAGATTTAGAGAAAATGGAAACAAAAGAAAAAGAAACCTGAAATTAACACCAGAAAGAGACAGTTGGAATTACTAGGGAACGCAATGAGGAAAGAAGGCTTGGAAAATCTGATACTCACAGGACAGATTGAAGGCAAAAGAGACAGAGGAAACAATACATAGCCTATTTAACTAGTTTGAGTAAATGGATGGCGGAACAAGCTTTAGGAGAAAATAACAGAAACAAAATTAAGCTCTAAAAAGAAAAGATAGGTTTGAGAACCATAATCGCTTACGCTACGAGGGAACATGAAACATAACGAAGAAGACTAGATTGGCAAATAGGTCTCATTATTTAACTTTCGATATTGCTAAATGTAACCGTAAGTTCTATTCTAATAGTTTCTTCTTTTGCCCTTCTCTCGCCTGTGGATATCTTTTTCTAGCTTCTTGCTTCCCTGTCAAATACAATCTTCAAACATTTAAAGGCGTCTCGTTGAATACTGTTCTTTTTCATGTCCTTTTCCTCATCATTTTTTATTTCTCATTAACCCCTACGTCTGAGTGGCTTTATTGCCTTGCTTGGGGGTAAAATTTAAAAAAACAACTCTCTCCTTGATTCCTGTTCTTTTTCATGTCCTTTCTCCTCAGTAACGTTTTCTCAGTTTCCATCACTCTCATTAACCCCCTACGTCTGAGTGGCTTTATTGCCTTGCTTGGGGGTAAAATGATTAAAAAAACAACTCTCTCCTTGATTCCTGTTCTTTTTCATGTCCTTTCTCCTCAGTAACGTTTTTCAGTTTCTCTCATTTACGTCATCTTTACTTGCTTGGGGTAAAATGATTAAAAACAACCTCTCCTGATTCCTGTTCTTTTTCATGTCCTTTCTCCTCAGTAACGTTTTCTCAGGCTTTAACCCCTACGTTTGAGTGCTTTTTTAAAATGCCTTGCTTGGGGTAAAAAAAAAACAACTCTCTCCTGATTCCTGTTCTTTTCATGTCCTTTCTCCTCAGTAACGTTTTCTCAGTTTCCATCACTCTCATTAACCCCCTACGTCTGAGTGGCTTTATTGCCTTGCTTGGGGGTAAAATGATTAAAAAAACAACTCTCTCCTTGATTCCTGTTCTTTTTCATGTCCTTTCTCCTCAGTAACGTTTTCTCAGTTTCCATCACTCTCATTAACCCCCTACGTCTGAGTGGCTTTATTGCCTTGCTTGGGGGTAAAATGATTGAAAAAACAACTCTCTCCTTGATTCCTGTTCTTTTTCATGTCCTTTCTCCTCAGTAACGTTTTCTCAGTTTCCATCACTCTCATTAACCCCCCTACGTCTGAGTGGCTTTATTGCCTTGCTCGGGGTGAAATGCAAGGAATTACCAGGTAACGTAAGCTTGGATGTGCGGGTGGTCTAATAAATAACAGCTGGGAATTTGAAACCAGAGAGCTGAGTTCCAATTCTTGGCGGGTTAGTGATATTCTCTTACGCGTAAATACCATTGAGAAAGGTACAAATCCACTTCTTCTCCCCATCTATGGATTAATAAGTATAACTTGTAGCAGCAAAATCTTTATCATCTATCCAAAATTCTTAAATCCTCAAGATTCCCATTTTTGGCGCCGAATGGTAACAAGGGAAGAAAAATGGATCGATTTTCGTAGTCCTAATAAGAGAAATCCGTGGCTTTGTTCCAGACATGTTTCAGAACCTGTTGTCAAATAATGGCGGTTTGAAGATGTCATGTTGTGCGTTTAGTGGAATTTCGAGGGGTGGGAGAGGTGTTGTACTTTGAGCTCATCCCAGATGGTCATACTGTGAATACTGACCTTTATGTTCAGCAAACATATGATGCTTTGAAAGCCCGCTATCTGGCATTGGTCAATCGAAGATGTGTGCTCTTTTTCATGACAATTCCCTGGCACACACTGCCAATGTGACCAAACGGTAAACTGAGGAACTGGAATGGCCGGAATTGCTCAATTTACCTACAGTTCAGACCCTGCTCTATCTAATTATATCATTTTCTGAGACAAAGCTCATTTCCTGTGTGGGTGGGGGTTCAACAATGTCGATGAGGTTGAAAAGGAGGACAGGAAGTTCTTTTGCCTCTAAACCAGCCAAATGTATAAGTGTGGATTTGAATTTCTGACAAAACGATGGCAACAGATAATAGGATATGATGGAATAATATATTTTGAATTTACTTACCATGTAATCAATGGCGGCTCCTGGAAAAGATAGAAAATTAATATTAATAAATGTACACCGGACTTATAAAAGAAAAGGGACACTGAGCAAGGGGACACTGAGAAAAAGACACACACACACACACACACACACACACACACACACACACACACACATATATATATATATATATATAGTGTGTATTTAGGCAGCATTTTTTCATTGATACATGTTTCATTAAATAATATAGACAAGTGTTGTCTATTTACTTATGTAAATTCTTTTCATATAAGTCTGATAAGCTTAATAACATTATCATTAAACGAAGAAAGAAAATCACAATATTGATACATATTTTTTAATCCTATATAAGCTTTCGGCTGACATAAGCCATTATCAAAGATGACAATTACATTAAATTATATTCGCAGCTCATGACGTAGTCATATCTTATAGTTTATGGTAGATTTCCTGTTTGTATATATATATATATATATATATATATATATATATATATATATATATATATATATATGTGTGTGTGTGTGTATATATATATATATATGTGTGTGTGTGTGTGTGTGTTTAAAATAGGATATAGAATCCCACCAAAGTTTTTAAGAAATTTGACAAATGGAAAATATGAATCAATATTCATCGAATTTATGAAATAAAAGAGAGAATATGTCCGATCCTCTAAGATGGTTCTCAAAAGATGTTTTTAAAGCAAGCATTTTCGTTTTCGTGGGGCTAAAATATACAAGTCATTTCTTGTCCTTGTTAACAATTGATTGGAGGTCATTTTTTAAAAGGTGGGATTGGACTTATTATTAAGACAGTCGTAAATAGCTGCGTCATCATAATGTATATATATATATATATATATATATATATATATATATATATATATATATATATATATATATATATACATGTATGTATTGAACAATAAAAATATTAAAAATTAAAATCTTCAGACACTGGTTTGTATATTAATATTCTTTCGTTTTTATTATTATTATTTCATTTAGATTCCTCGACTAGTTTCGACCAATATGGCCATCATCAGGAGAAAAAAAATCTGCTTGCTGGTAGAAGTGAACTACAGAAATGAATGTCTTGATAGAGAAAATGAACTTTTGTCTGTAGTTTTCATTTGTTTTTTTAAAATTTTTTTTGACATGAATTTTGGTCAGTCCTTGTGTTGGTCAAACAGTCTCTTTTAAGATGTTATTTGAGATAAGAACTGAATGGATTCATGCTGCTCTGAATTCCCTTGGTCATTTTGACAGTTTTATTGGTTCCTGGAAAGGGGATGTGTCTCTGTTAAGTGTGTGTGTGTGTTAGTTGGTTCTTAGGGAGTGAGTGAGTATGATGTGTGTAAGCGTGTATATTACTATGGGTGTGTGTTATCATTTGGCTCATTAGGGAATGTAAGTGTGCATATTCGTTTGGGTGTGTGTATAAGTATGAGGCCTCAACACTTCAGTAAGCATGTCTGTTTTGTGTGCGAAGGAAATGTGGGTAGGTCCTGATTTGTGGGGGTTATATATATATATATATATATAGGTAAGTTATGCATTGTTTTTCCCTCTCCCTCTTGCCTTCTATCTGTTTTGCCTCTTGAGTCAAGAGTTACCCTGATTTCTTTCGTATTGTAATAACTTGTGCGTTGCTTCATATAAGTCTAGTAATTTAGTATAGTCCATTAATACTTTTCCATTGGCGGAACCAAAGAAAAATGACCGAGAAAAAACTTACCTGAGTTCTCGTGTTTCAAATACAATGGATCAACGTTGAATGTCCGGTGCAGTGAAGTGCTGTCTTTGATCCTGCAATGAGAGAAATTGGCAGAAATCAGGTAGATTCCCACTCTTCTTTCACAGACGACATACAGCAGGACCGCGGTTAATATAGACAACATTTAGGGTTGTAACAGTAGGTATCTTAAACAGAAAATCATGCAAAGAGTCATATGGACCGCAGTAAATAAAACAAACAGCTTGTGGCACGAAGTAAATTAAATAAAAAGGATACCATGCGCAGTAAATGAAATACAAAGCCTACGGAACGTAATATAAAAAGCCGACGGTTCACAGTAAATAAAATAGAAAGATAACGGACCGCAGCAAATGAAACAAAAAAAAAACATACGGACCGCAGTAAATGAAACTAAAAGATTAAGGTTCACAGTAAATAATAGAAAAAGCTTAACGACTACTGTAAATGAAACAAAAAAACTTACAGACCACAATATATAATGCAAAAAACATACGGTAATCCGTAAAAGAATCAAACAGATTTCGTGATACAATAAATGAAACACAAATCCAATGGAGCACATTAAAGGAAACAAAAAAGACTACGGACTTCTATAAACAAATCAAAAAGCTTACGGCACAAAGTAAACGAAACAAAAAAAGTATATAAAACAAAACAAAAGCCGAGTAAATGAAACCACAGTATATAAAACAAAAATCTTACGCTGCGCAGTAAATGAAACAAAAACTTTACAGGGCACAGAAAATGAAACAAAAATCTTATAAATGACGAATCCTTACAAAAACAGAAAACAAAAGCTTAAATTCGCGGTGCGCTATAAATGAAACAAAAAAAAGAAAAAAAACAGAAAAGGAAAACAAAAGCTTGCGTCATGAAGGGCAAAAAGAGAAAATGAAAACACAGAAAAAAATCTTATGTCACGAAGTAAAGGAAACAAAAACCTTACGGTGCGCTATAAATGAAACAGAATCCTTACAAAACACAGAAAAAAAAAAGCTTATGTCACGAAACAAAAAACAAATACGGTGCGCTATAAATGAAACAGAATCCTTACAAAACACAGAAAAGGAAACAAAAAGCTTGCGTCACGAAGTAAATGAAACAAAAACCTTACTGTGCGCTATAAATGAAACAGAATCCTTACAAAACACAGAAAAGGAAACAAAAAGCTTGCGTCACGTAGTAAAGGAAACAAAAACAGAAAATAAAGCAAAAAGATTACGACACGCAGCAAACGAAACAGAAAGATATGATTTTTTGCTTACCCAGTGGTCTTATGCAATTTTTTTTTTTAATCTCTTCACCCCAGGGAAGGCAATAAAGCCACTAAGACGCAAAGAGTTACTGAGTGTGCGATATTCTGAGAGAAACTTTATTTACAGAAGAGGACAATAAAAAGAATATGAATTAAAGAGACAGAACGATTGACATTGCAATTAAATTTTTGAAGATGTTTCGGATTTAAAGATGAAGAGAAGTCAGGGTTATCTCCCTTTGACAGTAAATATTCATATTGGAATTTCTTCATCGGTATCGCAACATTATAGAAAAATAATTATATAAACATACAGTAGAAACCATCTACTCCCGGATTCCTCTTCGAACACGTGGAGTGAAAGTGGAATTTAACAGATCGACCATCAGGAACAAGGCAACACGATGATTAGATTAACTAAGATTTAATAATATTAGAAAACAAGGAAATAAATGACCGAGACTTGGAAACATGATCGGAATAAAGTTCAGTTACAGCATTTACCAATGTTGATTGATTAAATATGGTGGATCAGTTTGGGGAGACTTGATATCTTTATGAATACACTGAATACTTTATTAATATGTGGATGTATGCTGGAAAACTATGGGGTGGCGATGAACGAAGTTATCTGTTTATGAGTTCTTTTTCTTTTCCCTTTTTTTTTTTAGTTCTTTCAGAACCGTATTTTCCTCCCCCCTCTTTTCTTCCGGGGGCTCCCATTCTATTCAGGAATCCATCTGGGATTTTTGTATGGAAGATTTTCTCTTCTTGAATTCATCGATTCTGGCACTGCATGCGGCGAACAGAAATCGAAATTAGCTTTTTTTCAATTGCGGAGGATATGTCCAAAATTTTGCTAAAAAAAAAAGCATACCCTGATGAAAAAAAGCCCCAAACTTGATTAAAAAAAATTGTATTGTCTAAATGTTTATGTCATTATAAAGAGGAAAGACCAAAGTATTTTTGAGTATTTTTTAATTATTTTAATCCTTTCTAGCATGTCCGAAATTTTAGCTAAAAATCTTTTCTTTTTTTTTTGAGTCATCAAAATTGACGTAAAATCAATCATGTCAGCCATTATTGACACTTTTATGAACAAAAGTCAAATTTCCCGTTTAAAAATCTTGTGAAATTCAATTATACTTTTTTCAAAAGTTATTTTAGGAAAATTACAAAATTTAAAGTATACTTATATTTGAAAGAAACATTACTTACTTTTTTATCAGAAAATATTTTAAAAAGACATTTCCAACCGTGGTGCTTGGATTTTTGGGCCCGACTGAGGGGTGTTATACCATGCTTCGACTTTATGGCAGGGATACACCATAATTCGAATTTCTCGGTCTGCCATATTTTCTTGTGTAAACCATGATAACGTCTGCACGGATTCAATCCATCTCTGCAACTCACTATATTTTTTTCATTCGCGGACGATCATTTTTGCCGCCATAATTACGCCTTTTGATTGGTTGCTGTCATCCAATCGGCGCTACTCAAAGTTTTTTGAGCCTTCTTGTCGTGGTTCGTCTGTTCGCCCCAGCTGCTGCTGATTGTTGCAGTTACAGGCGTGTTTGTCCACTGCTGCTCTGAGAAGGAAAGGGTGTGACGGAGGGAAAAAGAGTGTGATGAGATGGAGGCGATGGTTTTATACGCACCCGTCATAAAGATCAATATTAACTAGAAAGCAAGAAGCCTGGAGAGTGTTCTCCAATCGAGATGTGCGAAGCTGTTAGCATAGATTTGTACGTTTTCATCTAGCTGAAAAATTTTGAGACCTAGCTGCCAATCTAGCACTGCGCTTGAATTGTTTGTTTTTTTAGCGGAATATCAAATCCTCATGGGGTATTTAATGTCGAAATTTTCTCGGGAGCATTAGTAATTTCTTTTACAAAAAACGTATTGATGATATTCTTTTGTTTTAGCAAAAATGTACTGGTAACTTCTTTTACTATGAAAATGTATTGCTGGTATTTTTACAATAAATTTTTTTATACTTTCATAATGTTTTGACCCCAGCTGGAACCCTAACAGGTGCTACCATCCAGGCTCAGTCTGGACTTGGAAAGAACAGCTATTAGGCGGTGGTTCCACACTACTTAAAACCTTCTGATTAGAAGCTTTGCTGCCGGATGTAGTTTATCGTCATACCCAGGACGAGCACTTGAATTCCTAACGTCGAAGGACCGAAGAGCAAAGCTCATCTGAATAATCACCATGAAAATATTTATAGAGAAGACACAGGGAAACAGCGGTGGGAATGCAAGTGAAGCCGAGATGCCAGGTCAGGACCGATAATATTGGATTTTGTTGAGAATCAAAAAATAAAAAAAAGGCTTTATCTATATATATATATAAAGTTGTAGCCTCTGTCTGTCTGTTTATCGAACTCCTCCTAGGGTTTTGGAGATAGACTCACCCCCCTTCATAACCGTATATATTCTGAAACTACATTACCTGGGTACTTGGATAAGGATATTCCATTTTGGTCGAAAGGGTTCTTGCAGGGCACACTGAAATCTTTGTTGCCTTTGATATAAATTAAATTTAAATTTGAACAAGGGAATGACTCCTAGGGTACTTGGATAAGTATATTTCATTTTTATCAAAGGGAGGTCCCGGGTGGTAGAAACCTCACAATTAATTTTTTCCTTTTTATATAAATAAAATTTAAATTTGAAATAAAGGAATGACACCTATCCAAGATATAGAAGAAGAAAACCAGAAGCTTGTGCCCTCCCTCTCCACTAATTTTTTTTTTCTCCTTTGATTTAAATTTGAACAAGGGAATGGCCCCTAGGGTTTTTGGATAAGTATTTCATTTTGATTAAAGGGGGTCTCCGGAAGGAAAAAAAAAACCCCAAAACACTGAAATTTTTTTCCCTATGATTTAAATTAAATTTAAATTTGAATAAGGGAAGGACTTCTTTTCAAAATATAGAAGGAGAAAACCAGAAGATGGAGGTCACCTCGGCAAGATCAGAATGAGTTAATATGGACAACAAGTATGAAATCATCAATCTGTGGGCAGTGCCTTACAATACTTATTTGTTGCGACAATTCAACTGTCATATCTACCCAAAATATAAATGTAACCGCTACTTCTACTCCAACAGTTTCTTTTCTCGCACTTCTTTACTGTGGAACTTCATACCTCTTATTTGCATCCCTGATCTTTAGGATCTTCGAAAATTTAAATGCAGTGTCAATCGCCATCTTCTTTTGACTTGAACCCTGTCCACCTTTCCATTCTCTCCTATACCCAGTCTTTTCTCTCACTTTCACTCTCTGTAATCCTCTGCGCGTTAGTGGTTCTCCTGCCTTGCTTGGGGTGAAACGATTAAAAACATATATAAAAGGAGAAACCCAGAAGACTGAGGTCACATCGGCAAGACCAAAATAAGACAAGATAGACGTCAAGTTGGGCAATAAATCATCGATCAGTGGGTAGTGACTTACAATACATATTTGTTAATTCAACTGTCATATCAATGTTGAAATCTGCCCATCAATTCATTCAATCATGTATTTCATCAAATCGATATCAAAGGTTCAGATCAAGTTGTTTTTGCACAAATCCCCCACTGAAAATTGTTTTCCAATTGATTTAAATTTAAACAAGGGAATGACTCTTATCCAAAATATAAAAGAAGAAAGCCAGAAAATGGAAGTCACATCGGCAAGATAATTCAATAACAATGAAAGAAAAATCGAGAAATAAAAGCAGATAATTGCTGATATTCCCTGACGAGTGGACGGAGTGATTTCGAGAGGGTTTGTCTACGAAACTCTCGAGTCGGGATGTTGAAGGTAACATAAATCAGCTATGTGACACAACTTTTATATATATATATATATATATATATATATATATATATATATATATATATTATTTTATTAGATTTTTTTATATATATATATATATATATATATATATAATATACTATATATATATTATTAGATTTTTAGAGTCCCATGAAAATAAGTGGATACAACGTCTAAAAAACACAATATCCAGCCGGGCTAAATCATAAATTTAACAATATATAGATATAAGATTTTAATTTTCTTATTCAATATATATATATATATTTATATTTAATGTTTACAGACATTTTATAGATACAAATTTTAAGTAAATGCTCTGTTTTAATAAACAGTACTAAAAACGTTATTTGAATATCCGTAAAGTTTTCACAGAAAATATTAATCCTCCGACAGGTTCGAACCTGCATCCTATACGGAGCAGTCATTCAGCGTGACGTGCCTTTACTGATTTGGCCAAAGAGGCGCGTTCAGTAAGCAAGGCCGAATTTACTGTATTTGAACTTCCATCTT